CAGGTCTCCACCCTTCTGGCTGCTGGGCCGCCGCTGGGAGAGAGGGAGGGCCGCGGGGGCCCTTGGCGCCCAGTCGGCAGGGCTCCTCTTTCTGCACGCAACCAGGCTGGGGTTGGCTGCCCCTCAGGAGGTGAAGTGAGGCTTTTTGCTGCTTGCTGCTGCTCTCCGTTGCTGCTGACAGTGGCCGCTGCCTTGCTGATAAGACCAGGAGGAGAGCAGAGGCTCATTACAGCGACTAACACGAGTGTCTTAAAGGAAAACATAGAATGATCCTTTCATAGAATAATCCTTTAAAAATCATTTTTCTCCCTTCATATATTGTGTGTGGCTGATCTCAAACAGTCTGCGTGGAAACAGATTCTGCAGAACCACATAAGTGGCCCTGTACAGTAACTGAGACTTAGCCATTCCTTTACCTATTTTACCTAATTCACCCAATTTTATTTCCATTCTTCCCTATTCATTCCTTGTTTCTCTCTCTCTCACTCTCTTGCACACACAGATACATACACCAGTTTTTGAGTGTGTGATTTTTTTCCTTCTTAACATTGTGTTATCAGTTGGTGCTAAGAGTTTAATTGTAAAGAGTTCAGATTGCTCTCCCTCCCCCAAATTCTGGAATTGAAACCTTACAAGTTGCCTTTCTAGCACATGCTGACAAATCTATGATCTATTTTTTTTTTTTTTTTGAAGGCTGTCATTTCCCACATTGAAGTCTATTTTTCAACTGGTATATTGTCTGACTATTTGTATTTTTCTCAAAACCAAAAGAAAACTTGTCATTTTTAATAAGTGGGAAATGGTTAATGGAGTATAAACAAATACAGCCAACACTGTAGAATATCCAGCAATAGGAAATAGTAGAGCTAAGGAACAGGTTCTTGTAAAATCTATTTTTTTCTTTAAAACACTGAATAGTATTAACTTAATTCCTAAATATAGTTGAGATTTGCATCCTAAGAAAAAATATTTTAAATCTATTTTACCACCCCTTTGGATATTTGGCTACCACTTGTGGTGGTCTATGACTTTTATGTATATCCATAAAATTAAATAAATACTTGGTAAAAGGTATCCCAAACTTTGATTTCTTCCCTTAATTTTTGTACTTTTCTTGTAACATTTTGATTTCAAGCCACAATGAGGATTATCCTTTGTGTCCCCTAAAATACAAAGTCTTATCAGTTCCAAAATGATGCATCTTTCCCTCTTGATTTAGTCAGCTCTTGCCAAATAGCATCACACCTATAACAAGAAGTCCTAGATTCAGTTTTTGGGAAAGACTTCTGTCTCAGACTGTGGGAAGCCACAGTGCTGACATGCAAATTCTGTTTGGAAGTGATAGGGTATTAAGTTGTAAAAATTGCCATTAATTGATTGTATTTATTAAACTATCTTTTTTTTTCTCCCAGAGTTTTTTGAAATATTAACTGCACCAACAGTCACAGTAGGCTGCCTGCACCAAGAAGTAAACAATATAAAGTGGGTCCCCCCCCCCCAATTCTCAGTGTTGTGCTGTAATGGCCTAGTGCTGAAATATTTCTAGTTGCAAAACTATCCAAATCATAGATAGCAAGAGGTGGTTGCACTTGAGACGGATGAAAGTAGGGTATGACGTTTGATAGCTTAGGCATAGTCTAGAGATGGTTGCGCTCTGGTATTGCTACTACCTTGAGGGTTTGTTTTTTTTTTTTAATTTGCTGTTGCATGTCAATTAGTTTTGCTAGGTGACAGCTGTAGCTGCAGTGCAATACTGGTACAGAGATATTGCTATGACTGAAAAGATACCAGTAAATATGCATTATCCACAAATGTCAGATTTAGCTGGGAGTATTTGAGGTGGAAGGGGAGGATGTATTTTAAAATATGCCAACTGATTGAATTTGAATTAGACAGAAACATGCACATATAGCTACACACAAATTATGTTTAATGTGATATCATGAGATCATATACAGTTCTTTATTCTAGAAGAATGATAACAGAGATTAGTCGAATTTTGGCCTCTATTATATAAGCAATTAAAATGAATCAATTTTCCAAATTTTAAATTTATTAAAGTAAGAAAAAATATACAGAGAGATATATCAATAGCTATATTTCTTCCAGGGAGGAAAACAAAAAACAAAAAACAAACAGCCATACCACTGAATTCAATGGCACTTTGCTCCTACTGTGATTTCATCTACTTTATATGATATTAGAAACATGTTTATTGCATGAAACATCATTAAACAGAGGATATATCAGGCAGATATATACTTTTTTACCATGAATTTTCTTGAGGATACCCAAAATGGCAATAAACATCTGATATCCCTTTGTATCATAACTTTGTGTTTAATGAGGCATTTCCCATGACTTTTTTGCATGAAAATTTATTGCTACAAATCGTGTGTAGCAGGCTGTGTCACAAGAAACTTTTTCAGCACAGGATATTAAGTAGGTGGTTCTGTTGCAGCAGGAGACCCTCAATTTGCCTCTGGTTATATTTATAAGTGTTGTTACTTTTAGTTCTTTATTTTTCAGGCATGCAGTATTCAAGGTTTTGAATGTAATTTTGTTGTCTTTTAAATTTTTGCAGGTTTTTGTAAAACAAATTTAAAAAATCATGGTGCAAAATCCTCCAACAATCAAGCACCGGGATCTTTTTAGTTTTGGCTTTCAGAAGGAAAACAAAATAGGAGCAGCTGTGAGGCTCTGCATAGCAAGTAGCTTCTAAGCTACATGACAGCTTCTGGATTTCAGCCCCACTGGGAAATAGGCAGTCTCCTGGTTTATTACATGGCAGGCAGTCCATGGTCTGATGAAAGAATCAACTTTGGAAAGAGAGGATTGTAATCGGTAAATTGCTTGCAGTGAAGGTGATAAAATTCCTGGGAAATACAGCTATTGGATAAGATGACTTCTGCATACACTTGGATAATGACTTCTCCATGTATGCTGGGATATTGATTCAATCTTGCTGGATTTGTGGATCTTTTGAGAAGATCTTCTGGGTGGTTTATGGACCCTCCTACATTTGTGTATTTTCCACCCATCCCCAACTTCTTTTCATCTTGTCAACATGGATTTTTAATACTAAAATATTTGCTGACTCACTCAGTCTTCACTTTGAGAAGCAGATGACTGAATAACTTTTTATCAGTGCCTTTTATTTTATAAACACTTTTTACAATTCAAATAAAATTGCACATTTGCTGGTGCTTAATCCTTCCTTCCTTCCTTCCTTCCTT